CCCCAAAACCCCAAAACCCCAAAACCCCAAAACCCCATATATAAAATTTCGGATTGGCTCATTAAATCAATAAAGAGTTAACATAAATGTCTGAGAAAACCATCAAACTCCCATTACTTAACCTGAGGAAGAAGAAAGGCCTCTTCTTGAAGGGTCTGAGTAAGTGAAACTCTCTGGCATTGTTGGACAATTTGGGTTATGGGCATTTTTGATTGTTTAAAAGAACCCTCTTCACCAGAACATGGCTCTAATGGTCACTTTAGGCAGTGTAAAGACAGCTAATAGCTCCCATGCTCGTAATTCTCAGTGTAGAAACCTCAGCGGGATGAGATCTATCACTGCGAATGTCTCTAATAGGAGCCAGAAGGAGAAGACTCCTCTTTTTGGCAGAAAAGGTCCAAAATTAGATAGGAAATTTGAAAAACTTCTCAAGCTGAACCACAGATCAGCTCTCAGAAACCTTGAGTGCAAGCTGAGGACTTATGATGAGTTCACTGTCAGTGGCTGAAACTGTAAGTGCTGTCCCAATGCTCTCATACAACGTACAGTTTTCTTGCCAAATTCTTGATGTAGAAGAATACCCAAGAATACCTTTTTCAAAAACCTGATTTTGATGAAACCTTTAAAGTTCACCTATTCCTAAGTTTTTTGTCGTTATTCTGATAAATTCCTTAAAAAACCGAACAATTAGCGGTAGGTTTGGTTGAATTCTGCAGGTAACGGGAGTGCACGGGATTACAGAAATATATAGATCCCAACCAGCGTGGCATCATTAATTTAGCCTTAGCACACGCTTTGGGTTATGCAGAGCATATAGCTACATATTTTTTGCAAATTTAGCTTAAAACTCCCATTATTCAGAGCCATTTCTCCAAATTCTTAGTGCTAGAGACCTGGTTCATAAGATACATAAAGTGCTTACATGAACTTTTGGGTTAATTTAGCCCAATGTAGACTGAGTAATCAGAGTTTTAGAGTAAAATTTCTCCTAGCGTTTCGTTGGAAGATACAGTTTTAAGAACATTAAAGTACCCATATCTGCCATGTGTTTCCACAAAAATTCTTTTATGGTGGAACTAACCAAGTCTGATGGAATAATCAGAGATTTTGCCTTGATTATAAAGTAGAAAATTCTTTCGGAAATGCTTGCATAACTCTGACTTACCTGAAGTCTTCAGAATTTCTTCCTAGCTTCCTTCTGATGCTTTGAATGTTATTAACCGTTTTTTATAGTAAAGAAAAGGGAAAAAGGATTTGTTGACCTCAGCTGAACAGCTAATGCAGATATTTATCAGGTAAGGGTTATTATATAGCATACATTTGTCTTCCTTGATGGCTTAAGAACACGTTAGAGTTGCCCAATAGTTCACTAATCAATATTTTTAGGCTGGAGAAAGGAGAAAGAGTGTCATGAGACCAAGCAAATCATACCTTACACTCCCAAATCAGGCTACATCAGGTAAGCATAAAGTCCCTCAAATAGGATTGATATTTTCAATGACGTCCTCAGAACGAAATTTTGTTAGAAATTTTCAGTTTTCAGAGCTCCTCCTTAAACAGCTCAAAACAGTCTAAAACATCAAAATACCATCTTTAACCCCTCTCTAGAGCCCACTTCCTCACCTTACAACCCAGAATCTGAGTTCTTTCCTACTTGCAAGCCTAAGGTCAAGCGTAAGAGGGGTTCCAAGAGACGTAAAATGACCACCTCGCTTCTCAGAACCTGCGAGAGCCATTTTCTAGAGGTCCCAATTCAGAGTGAATTCCAGCTGAATTCTTACTCTCATCCTAGCATCTTTGACAAGGACAGAGAGTATTGCTAAAATATTTCATATAATTAACTTTACATTAACACTGGGCTAGTCTTCTCAGGCATCTTGGCTGAGAAGCCACTATGTCTGCTTTGTCCAGAGCCACTAAAGAAACTGGTCTAAAGAAGCGTAACTTCTTGGTCTGGAAAGGGTGCTCTAGTTTTTACTAGTGAAGCCAATACTTGTGCTGGGCTATAGAACCGTCTGCATTATTGAGATTCATGTGCCAGACTTTCGCGTCCTCTTTAGGTTCAAAAATATCACTTAATAAAAACTTCATTGCATTAAAATGTATCTTTGAGCATGAATAAAAAAGTGAGCCATTCCTTTAAGGACAATAGATTGTTTCATTCCCTAATTTAGCATAAAAGATTTATCTCTCTGTGTTTAAGGTTCTTGACCAGGAAGCCCTAGTTTAGCTCGAGATTTAGCTTTACCTTTCACAAGATCATCTTGGGCTTTGAGATAGTAGTATTAGAAAGTTTAAATTAAAGCTACGTAATTTCTAAACTAGTATTTTAGCTTCACCAGATTTTGATAAAGTCTATTCAAAAATTCTAAAACTCAAGGTTCTAAAATACTTACACTATAAGTACCAAATTAGCTGACTCATCGAGCTCGAGCAAATACAGAGTATGAGAGATTCCTAGCCCAATTCTTTCACCTGAAGAGTGTTGAGTAGAAGAAATGGATGCCTCTAGAAGAAGTTCTAGAGGCTTTCCAAGAAATTTGGCCTGTATAAGACCTAAAATACCCTTCTAGGGGGTTGAATCAATACAAATGGATGTCATTTGTACCTGATATCACTGTATCAAGTCCTAGTTAACTTACTTGAGAAATAAAGCACATAGCTGAGGAATATCTTATTTAGTTCAAGGAGCCTGACTTTCCAATCAAACATTTCATGATGGGGTTTTGGGGTTTTGGGGTTTTGGGGTTTTGGGG